GTTCAGAAGATCTCCATCAACGGAAATCAGAAACATCCAGAGTCGGCAAAAATTTTAAACCGTAAGTTCTAATCCTAATTATAGATTCCGTTGCGTTATGATTTATTATTCAATAGATTTGAATGTGAACATTGCCGACGTTCCTAATAGAACCCAACAGAATGTTCTTCAACATCAACATCACTCTATGAACACTACGGCAGACATGCTCCTCAATCTCAGGAATCTGGCAGAACATAAGTCTAGGTTTGCTAGGCAGGAGGCTATGAGTGCTCTGATGAGCATGCGTATGGCCTAAGGCACACCCGTAAGGGAGCATGCCCTTAGGATTATGGCACTGCTCAATGAACTTGATGTTATGGGAGGTTTTATCGACTGAGGAAAACCCAGGTTGATATTATGCTCCAATCTCTGCCGAAGAGCTTTGATCATTTCCGGTTGAACTATAACATGCACAAGATGCATATGGCTCTTCCATAACTTCTAGTAGAGCTCCATTCGGCAGAGACCTTATTTACTCAGGCTCCTTAGGTGCTAGTCGCCAAGCAGGCTGGACCTTACAGGCCTCACAAGGGCAGGAAGATAAAGAAGTCTGCAGGAAAGGCAAAGGCAGAGGATGCCCTAGTTGCCCCACGACCAGCCCCTCATGCAGTGACAAAGAAACCGAAAGGAAGATGCCACAAATGCAACAAGTCAGGACACTGGAAGGTCGACTGCCCTATCTTCAAGAAAGGTAATTTTCTCATTAATGTCGTAGAAACATGTTTAGTGGTTATATCTACCAGAACCTGGTGTGTAGATACTGGAGCCACTGATCATGTCTGCAATTCTTTGCAGGTCCAGGAAACCAGATGACTTAAGGAGAGAGAGAGAGCACCGTCTACATGGGCGATGCTACGAAAGTGGCAGCTGTTGTAGTGAGAGACGTTATTTTATCGTTTAGTAGTAGTAGTTTGGTTTTGAGACATTGCTTTTATGTTCCTAGTTTTAGAAAGAATCTTATTTCAGTTTCTAAGCTTGTTATGGATGGTTTTTCATTTACGTTTGATGACTTGGTTATTATTCGTAATGGAAATTGTTTCATTTGTTCTAGCTCATTAGTTGGTAATATGTATGTTCATAAACAAACTCTTCCACGCTGCAACAAATTGAATTGAATAATATCATGACCAAATCTAATAAAAGGAAGGAATCTTTGCAGAGGAATCAAGCATATCTTTGGCACCTTAGACTTGGGCACATCAACCTTAGGAGGATTCAAAAGTTGGTATCTATTGGACTCCTTGGTCCATTAGAAAATCATTATCCGACTTCCAAATCGTGCCTGGAAGGTAAGATGGCCAATTGGCCATTTTCGACAAAGGGGTATAGGAGCCAAGAAGTGCTAGGATTGATTCATTCTGATTTTTGTGGTCCTATTTCGATCCAGGATATAGGAAGTTTTGAGTATTTTATCTCTTTTATTGATGATTACACGAGATTTGGGTACATTTATCTGTTGCACAGTAAGTCTAAATGCTTTAAGAAATTCAAGGAGTATCGGGCAGTTGTGGAGAAGTTTTATGGTAAAAGTATCAAGTCACTTCGATCTGATCGAGGTGGCAAGTACCTCTTTGAAGAGTTCAGGACATACTATCAGAAGCTGGGATTGAATCTCAATTAACTGCACCCAGCATGTTACAGCAGAACGGAGTTGAAGAGCGAAGAAATAGGACTCTTATGGAGATGGTTAAGTCGATGATGAGTTATTCAAAGTTACCAGATTCACTGGGGTATGGCGTTGGAAAGAGCATCGTATATCCTGAACATGGTTCCTTCAAAGTCGGTTGAAACTACTCCTTATGAGATGTGGAAAGGGCGCAAGCCCAGTTTCGCACAGTTTCGAGTATGGGGTAGCCCTGCACACGTGTTAGTGTAGGAAGCTGGCAAGTTGGAGAAACATTCCGAAGCACGGGTGTTTGTAGGCTATTCTAAGGGGAACAAAATGTGGATTATTTTATAGTCCCAAGGATTAGAAGGTGATCGTTTGCACGAACGCTAGATTCTTGGAAGAAGACTATATTATGAATCACAAGCCCGCGAGTAGACTAGTTTCAGAGGAGTTGAAGGGTGAAGACGATAGTTTCCCACCGAGTGCATAAGTAGATAAATCACATAATACTGCAACACGACACACTGAGAGTGTACCAGTGGAGACAATACCTCGTCGTAGTCGAAGGGTTTCTCACTTACCCGACCGATTGTAGGTCTTGGAGAGTCTTCGGGCTCAGTTCCATGAAACCTAGAATCGCACCCAAGGACCTACAACGAAGCACTCTAAAATAAAGATGCAGGTGAAATGTTGCACTGAATGCTGACATGGGGTCTGGGCCGGGCCGAGTCAATGGCCCGCTTTATCTATTTTTTTTCTATTTTTTTTAAAATGACAGACCCGGCCCGAATACGAACCCGGCTCGGTCAACCGGGCCATTGACCCGGCACGAGTATAGGTCTGTGCCGGGTCCGAGTCAGTGTTTTGGAGCCTGGTGGCCCGCCGGGCCGTGGCCCGACCTAGGTTTCTTTCAATTGTACATTAAGGATTATTTAAGAATTAACCGTTATTATATATGTGCAAGTGTACATTACTAGTTGTAAATTATATTGTCTAACATAAAATTATAAACATAAATTATAAACAGTATGCATTAATTTTTTTTTTTTGGTACAGGTACCTTCCGATTTTTAAATCCACAGGGGAACCGACTAATTCGAAATTGAGCCGAGTAGGACCACAAGGGCGGCAAAGCTCTCCCTTAAGAGTTTTAACACTGCTGCATTTCCAGGGCTCGAACTCGAGACCACTGGTTAAGCTGGAAGAGACCCAAACCATCTTATCCAATGGTTGTGATTGCTCAAAATATTGATTAAAAAAAATTACATACAAGAATCAAGATTAACCTCAATATTCATTATATATATTTTTTTAGTCGCGACTTATATAGAATTCGGCGGCAATAACACAATTGAAACTCGGGCCATTCATTCAATCAGAAGTCTCATTTTTTTCCGTCTCTCTTCTCTCTCGCTGGATTCTCTCCAACCCAAGGTAAGGTCGTGTTCTTGTTTACCATGTCTTACACCGTGAGTTTCTTCTTCATAAAAAATAAAGCAAGAAAAGAGAGTGGGAGAGAGGGAGAAACCACAATTTCAGTTGATTTCGCCGTGAATTCTTTGCCGGAAATCTAATTTACCCGAAAAACCCAGAGAATAATTGATAAACCCTGTGTGTACGTGCGCGTGTGTGCTGAGAGAGAAAAAGAAACGGAGAGAGGTCGATTGTGTGCCAACTATTATCTCTGAATCCCGATTCTTTATCGGAAATCTAATATTATCCCCATTACAGCATAGATTTTTGACGCCGAAAACAGAGAAGAGTAACAGAGAAGTCGATAGTTATTCTTGGCGACATTCTTCTTCGTTGATGTCGTTTGGTTTACAGTCTTAATGCCAAGCACATATGTTTCTCCCTTTTATTTATTTATTTATTTATTTAATTAATCTTGATTATTTTATGTTGCAGGCAATATAATTTCTGTTGGAAGTTCCCCACAATTTCTGAATAGAGAAGCATTCGTGGTATAGTTCCTTCTTTCAACCCTAATTGTTGTTCCATTATTTATCTCTTTATTTTATGCC